AATCATTATCATAATAGTCAATAATAGTAATCATAATCATAATAATCATAATCGTAATAATCATAATCATAACCATAGTAATTATGGCCATAATAATCATGATCACAGTAGTCATAATTATAATAACCATAATCGTAATAATCACAGCCGTAATAATCGTAATCATAATAATCATATTCATAACAAACGTAATCATAATAATCATAACCATAGTGATCATAACCATAATAATCATAATTATCACAACCATAATCATAGTCGTAATCATAGTCGTGATATTCATAATAATCATAATCGTAATGATTATAATCGTAATAATCAATCAATAATCATAATACTCATAATCATAACAATCATAACCATAATAATCACAATCGTAGTAATCATAATCGTAATGATCATAATTGTAGGAGTCATAGCCATAATAATCATAATCATAACAATCATAAAAATCGTAGCCATGGCAATCATAGTCATAATATTCATAACCATGATAATCATAATAATCATCCATAATCGTAATCATAATAATCATCATAATCATAACAATCACAGCCGGAATAATCATAGTCACAGTCATAATATTCGTAATCATAATCATAATAATCAGTCGTGGTAATCATAATAATCATAATCATAATGATCGTAATCATAATAATCACGATCATAGTAATCATGACCGTAACAATCGTAATTGTAATAGTCAGAATGATAATCATAGTCACAATATTCATAATTATGATAATTAATCGTAGCAATCATAGTCAATCAAAATCATAGTAATCATAGTCATGACGATCATAACAATCACAACCATAATCATAATCACAATAATCATAGTCATGGTGATCATAATCATAATAATCATAGTCGTAGTCATAATAATCATAATCATAATAATCAGTCATAACAAACATAATGTTCATAACCATAATTATCATCATTATCATAGTAATTACAATCATAGTAGTCATGATCGTAACAACAATAATCATGATCATAATTATAGTAATCATAATCATTATAATCATAATAACAGTAATCATAATAATCGTAATGGAAACAATCATAATCATAGTAGTCAAAGTCGTAATAATCATAACCATAATGGTCATACTCATAATAATCATAATCATAACAATCACAATCACAGTAGTCATAGTCATGATAATCATAGTGATCATAACCACAATAATCATAATCATGAGTCATAATAATCATAATCGTAATGATCATAATCATAATAATCTTAATCATAGTAATCGTAATAATCATAGTCATAATAATCATAATCTTAGCAATCAATCGTGGCAGTCGTAGTCATAGTAATCATAATCATGATAATCATAATAATCGTATTCATAATAGTCATGATCATGATCATAGTAGATGTAATCACAATAATCATGATCATGATAATCGTAATAATCGTGATCATAACAATCGTAATCAATAATCATGTTCATAACTATAATAATCATAATCATGATAGTCGTGATAATCATGATCATAATGATCACAGTCATTATAATCGTAATTATGGTAATCAATCGTGACAGTCGTAATCATGATAGTCATGATGATAACCATGGTAGTCATAGTCATAGTAACCATAATTAGAATAATCACAGTCATAGTTATCATAATCATGGTAATCAAACAGGATAATCATAATAATCATAACCATAATCGTAGTAACCACAATCACAATAATCGTAACCATGATCATAATCCTGATCACAATAATCAATCGTGATAATCGTAATATTGACAATCGTAATCATTGTAGTCTTGGTCGTGATAATCATAATGATCATAAGAACGGTAATCATAATAATCATAATCATGATCGTGTTAATCATAGTCATAATCATGATAGTCGTAGTCGTAACTATAATCATAGTAGTCATAATCATGATCATAGTAATCATATTCATAGTTATGGTGATCAGTAATCATAATCGAAATCATAGTAGTCATAACCATAATCATAATCATAGCAATCATAATCATAGTCATAACAGTCGTGGTCATAATAACAATAGTCATTATAACCATAATCGTGATGATCATAGTTATGATAGTCGTAGCAATCATAATCATAATAATCGTAATCACATTAATCGTAATCATAGTAGTCATAATCGTAATAGTCTTAATCGTAATGGTCATTATCATGGTGATCATGATCGTAATAATCACGATCATAACAGTCATAATCATAGTCGTTGTGATCATAATCGCACTAATAATCGCGGTAATCGTGATAATAATAGCCATGATCATTGTAATCGCGATTGTAGTAATCACAATTATAGTAATTGGACTCATA